AATTGCAGAAAATATAACTTATAACATTACATTGAGTTCATAAACTGTTACATAATTCAATATACATTAAAAATGTCTGTCAGGTAGTTACACTTGAATATTGTGGTTATATATTTTTTTATTTTAGAGTAATATCATCTTCAGACTTGCCTAAAATTGATTTTCATTTATGCATGATCAATAAACTTATCTAAATATGGATTTCTAACAAGTTCAACATTCTTTTTCTATTTATGCTTTACATTTTTTTGGCATTGACATTGAAGTCGATTGGTATGTAATAAAATCACACTTTTCAAATTATATTCTTGTCGGCCCGGGAACTCTCCGTATGACATAAATTTTCCATCCGGTTTGACCATGACCATGTTCCATTTATATTAAGCTCTGAAATGTTCACAGAATAATTAGATAATACTTGATTTTATAATATTGATTTTATAACAGATAAAAATGTTTATTTTGATTACCATGCGCCTAGCAAACTCTACTACATCTTTAACGTTTCTCATTTGGTAAATTGACCTATCATTTTTGTTATTTGTTTGAACTATTTAAGACAATTGTGGTATTGTTGGCTGCTCCGTACATTCAATCAGATGTTCCTGGTGCGCTTTCTTCTACTCTCGATAAATGTTGTTCTGACTGAGGGGTCAGGGGTCAAAAACTGAATATACGTGTCCCCGTCAACACTGTCCAAAGCATTTGGCGATTTATTATTAACCTTAGATTCAGTTCGTCTTTCAGTTTCCCATCGATTGCGAAACCACGTTTTTTTCGCTTTATGTAGTTTTGTGGTGGAGATATATGAATATAAATTTCTACCTTTACAATTAGTGCTGGAAGATTCGTTATAACGAGGTCTCCTCAATATTGTGTAAGTTCGTCGCTTGGTTTTTATATACTAAAAAAAGATGAAAATACTTAAAGCGGGGGGGGGTCGTCATCTGTGCGTGCGTCAAATGGCCATAGCGTGTCATTGTTTACAAACAAGCTTCTGCCCGTGAGCTTTTGCGTTTTTAAGCATGTGTGGTTATAGTCGCTTGGGACTCAATTCCCGCGCGTGCGCAGGTGACAACCCTCCCGCCTTAATTATAAAACAACGACATATTAATACTTAAATCGAAAGACGATGAAAGATACTTATTAATGGCTGACTTCGAAGCTATCTATATATACATTATTGTGTCTGGTTGGTTAGCAAACCCGAACAGAACAGCAATCCAGGCTGACCAAACAGAGAGCAGTATTATCAAATTCTGTCTTGTATGGAGAAGGGGTGCTGTTTTTTTCAGTTCAATCAGAACACAAAAAACCTACATCCGATATTTCTGCTATTTCTCCTCTTTCCAAATGTCTTATTTTTGTGAACTACAGTACTTTGTTGTAGCACAGTCCCTCTATCACGATAGATAGAGGGACTGTGGTCGATTGTAGTGTAGCTTCTCGGTGGACGAAAATGAATTTACATCTTCGAATGGATAAAATATGTCTAAATCATGCAATGCATGTGTATATTTAGACTCCATTAGAATTAAAAAATGAAATTTCGAATATCGCGAAACCACAAATACTGCTAAGAGCCTAACTCAGGCTGCATATAAATACATTAGGGTCTCATCGCCATTTTGAAATATTGACAGTTGTGCAGACTGTATTCATTTCTATACAGAATGTATAGACTTTTGTACAATTTTTCGATAGACCAAATAAGATAATACTCAATTAAAAAACGGTGGTATAAAGAAAAGTAGAAAGACTGCACTTTTTACCCAACTTCCTTATATGGACAGGGCCACAATGCAACACCACGTGACTCAAACTGATTAAACTCTAACATGGAGATAGACGATTAGATTTGTGAACATTAATTCGTCTTGTTGAGCCTGAAGTTTGATAATCCTACCTAGTGTGCTAAACAAATGATCAAATGAAATGAAAATCCGTTTGTTTCAACATTCTACTAATATTTGAAAACATTAATTGTGAAGATTCATTACTTTCTGTGTATTTTCCAGGATAATTGTCTAAACCTATATGACCCAAGCTATTGTATGAACATTCAGGTACGCCCAAAGCAGACGTGAAGTACTAACTGGAACCATAATAATTACCTCCATGCTGGAACACAGTTGCCCCAAAATTGCGCCCCCTGCGACGAAGCGCTTCCGTGACCTACGAAATATTGAAAATATGACGTTTTTTTTTTAGAGAGAGACCTTTTATCTTGTAAACGACGAATGACTACGCAGCCAAACAATGTTGACGCTTTGAGTGATACGGAAATAGTATATGCGTTTCTGATTATCTACTATTTACTAGTATGTAAGTAGACTCACTGGTGGCCAATTGTAGCATACACCAGCTAGTGTGATGCGTATATGATTGCATGTTGTCATACCATCTTCAATCTCGGGTTTGACTGAAACCTACGATGTCTACAGCAACAAATTTCTTTTATATATGTATACATATTTTTTTTCGCTGACAATGTTATTGTACAGAATGGGAATTCTGTAATAAACGTGATGGCTTTGTGTACGAAACACACGCTTGGTATAACAGTCACAACATTTAATGGTCTACCATTGGAAATCTTTGGGTGGCTGAAAGATTTGTTGAAAAATAAAAATGACACCGAGAGAAATAAATTACATGCAAGGTGTTGCATGGACAAAATGTTGGCGAAATTCAAGAAATGTATAAACAATATATCGCCTTGGTCACCCCCCCCCCCACCATGATTTTTAATGTTTGACTCCTTACAGGTAATATGAGTATTCGAAGCTTTGGATAGGTTCCTAAGACTCACCACAGTCTCTGTAACTGTGGGCTGATAGCGGAGACTGTGCACCACCGCCGTATAGCATAGCATACCCACGTTAGGGGCGTGTCTTGATATAAGGCCAAAAAAAAAAAAAAAAAAAAAAAAAAAAACTTATGTTGCCCTCAAGTCGGAAAACTGAAAAATTGGGTCGGTTGGTCGGATTTTTTTTTTTTTTTTTTTAAACTCGTGAAAACTAAGGGTATCGTAAATAGCCGAGGTATATGGGAAAAAAACGCGACCCGATATTTCATATTTTTTGGTCGGTCGCTGAGGGCAACAAACAATTTTTTTGGCCTAACGGTGCATACATACATTGTGTATTATCGGTCTGTCATTTATAAATAAATTAATAAACTTACGTGGTATGCAAATTCCTTTCAGAGTTTTGAACGAAGTCATTGTCACCTATTCCTCAAATCGGTGAATTTAAAAACGTGTCCCGTCAGAAAAGGGGGTAATATAAACTGTTTGTTTACATTCGACCGATGGTGCGTACGTGCTTATACCAATAGCTTGATATATTGGTATGGGACGGATGTGTTATTGTCCCCGGTATGCGTGCATGTGTAAGCACTTTAGAAACTTTTCGAACGCCCGGTCAGCTAAACAATACTCGAATACTGAGATGCGCCATGGGGTTACCGTCTTAGGGATTAACTAATCATAGATCCTACAATAAATCTACATACATTTGTATATTTAAAGTTCATGACATTTTGAGATCCTTGTATGATTTATCAAATTATATTTTGAGTATGTTAGCATGTGACCATCACACGTGAGGTGTGACGTCTTTTCCGATAACCACTTGTCCTGCACAACCAATAAATAATATCTATCCTCGAAAAGCTATTCATAAAATTACTCCGGTTTCAAAACTGTGGTTTCTAGGACGAGTACTATTTTTGAACTGACAGTGGCGTGTCTAACAAGTCCGCAGTGCGCGTGCAGACATTCAGTCACGTTTTCATAAACCGATCCTACTTAGTTTCCGCCACGAACCATGGAGTACCGGAACAGATACATTTCAAAATGACGTACACGAAAACAATTAACATTTAATTTACCTGGCAGCAGAAGCATTGTCATTGAGTGTGGATTGTAATATTGTCAAGAGAGGCGGATGTTCGTGTAGGTGTAGTGTAGTGTAGGTGTAGGTGTAGGTGTAGGTGTAGGTGTAGTGTAGTGTAGTGTAGGTGTAGGTGTAGTGTAGTGTAGTGTAGTGTAGTGTAGTGTAGTGTAGTGTAGTGTAGTGTAATGTAGTGTAGTGTAGTGTAGTGTAGTGTAGTGTAGTGTAGTGTAGTGTAGTGTAGTGTAGTGTAGTGTAGTGTAGTGTAGTGTAGTGTAGTGTAGTGTAGTGTAGTGTAGTGTAGTGTAGTGTAGTACAATGTACATTGTGGTGTGGAGATTAAATCACGTTCTTAGTGTAGTGTGGAACGGTGACAAAAAGAAACGAAAGTGATAATAAATAATATCCTTGGTATTGTGTATTGGGGGGGGGGGTCAGCGCACCTTCCTGTCACGGTGGCTTGCTTTGAATACGTGAACAAGTAAAAAATGGACTAGTCAACCATTTTTGTCAGCGAATATTACCCTAGCGTAGCCATAGCTGAAAGTCCCTCTACATATCCATCAATTTTGTCGCCTTCAATTGTACATCTGCCTTAAATATTCTCGCGAGATTCGATTCCCAAAAATTCAGTTATGAAATTTGAGCTTCACGTTATTGATAGTTTTCTTTTTAATAACGTATTTCCCGTCTAAAGTTATCTGGATGTTTGAGGCAGTACTAGTGAACCGCCAATTATGACCTATAGCTTTTTAATTAAATTTCATATGAAATATTAAATTCGCACAAGTGCCTTCTCTATGTATATAGCATCGATCATGATACTATCATGACATCCTTGGAAACAGACCTGATTCGGTTCATTTCTTTTCTGTTTATTTAAACATATACCTTACTATTTCATTGACATATTCAATGGCACGTGGAATACAATCGGAAGTATTTCCATAGCAACTCGGTTGGAGCTTGCAATAATTTACATCAACTCGCATTGACGAAAACGTAACATTTGAAGAGTTTGTCGATATTTAGACATGTAAATTAGATGCTAATGTCACCAGTTAATAATGAGCCTCGTTGTGGTATAGAGTTCACGCCATATTGGATTCGCCGCTGAGTGCAGAGGAGCGAAGTAGTAGTAAACTGTCGGCAAAATCCCGAGGATTTTCAGACGAATTCTTTCAAAATCAGTACTCTGGCGGTGGCTTCTTACAACCCTTTCACAATGCCGTTGGCACAGCTTGCAGATCCCTGGCAAAAGATGAGTGTGGCCAGAGGCAGGGAGGTAAAGTTAATTTGGTTGACACCCTTCGTTCGTGGAATTTTCTCTCGGGTAACAGTGGCTCGAGTCGAAATTGTTTTCAATATTGAATATACCACACTTATCGTGTAATTAAAATCGCGATCTTACAGACATATTTCTGATTTCAGGTCGGTAGCACTGACGATATGCTGGTGGACGATGCCGAAACTCAATCGAATGACGTAAGTTGATCTATTTTTGCTTACTGAAAATCCGCATTCATTGGGTTGTTTTATTCGACATGACACCGGTTTGTGCTTCCGGTCTCGATGGATCATGTAGTTGTTATGTCGATTGTTGGTGTGAACCGATCTGTCGAGAATCATGTTTCTTGGAATGAATCCGAGAAGCAGTGGACCCCTCCCCTCGATTTGAACAGCTGTAACGCACTCAACTCAAGAAAGTGGAGTGCGAATTGCACGTCCATTCAAGGGCGTTTCTCTTTATAAATTATGGCGTAAGCGTAAGTTCCTATTAAACGACGGACAATTCACAATAAACTGCAATTATTGGATGATCACAACTGTCAAATAAAATGTTGCAGAGTTCGCACATACATATTAATGCAATGATATATTTTAAAGTTTTTACTCTTTGAATGTAGGTATTAATTTATTAGTCTTACAGACTAGTAGTCATAATGAAGCAGGGGGTTATTGTCCTCACTAATATATTTGTAATTATCATCAACTTGATTGTATTAATAACTAACTGAAAAGTTTCAAAATTAAATATAAATCCGGATTACAGTAAAATCTCATCCAGTGATTTATCATTTGTTTTTCTGCATCATACTTTTGTGCAAAAATTTTGTGTGCATTTGTTTGTCAACTTGACAGTCTATTCCCAAAGGTGAAGTTATGACACTATTTCCCAAACATTGTCAGCACCAATCACAGGCAAAATCACGCAAAGGTTTTTGGGATTTATCTCTTCCTACTTTCCCCGCACACAAACCAGCTTTCCTCTTCACTAACGCAACAATTCCAGATGAATTCTTTGTAGGCTTTTTCAAAATAAGTGCATAGTTGTGTAGTAATATACAGTCAAAATATCTAACCTTAGGTCAGGTAAAAATTCCTAAACATTTCATTCGCTAACAAGCTTCCATTATCTCAAATGACACGTTTGTGCAGGTTCTGTAAATTAAAATGACCCAGTAGTCGTGACTCGCTGTACTCAATATCTGGGTCTCTACATGTAAAAATGCATTGTTGTTTACACTATATTTAAAGCCTGCAGCTGGACTAAGACTAGTGTTTTAATAATGACAGATTACTGTAGTAGTGAAATACTATCATGCTGAATTTCCAATCACGTAGAAAAAAAATCAAAAATAGCAACAAGTTGTCCCCTCACCCCAAGGATCTTTCTTCTAAGACTGGAAAAAGCTTTTGTTCTACAACTATCACTATGGTCTTGCTTCACAATTCCTCTTCAGTTTTATCAGCGTTCTTGAATATGATCGCAAATATAGTATACCGTAGTATTGAAAATATAACTGGCCAGACATTCTTACTTTAGAGCCATGCATGTCTCTGTTAAAACACAAGGCACACTATAAATTCCAATAAGTGCATGGCATTGGATACATTCTCTTATAACATAAAGTAAATCATGCTGGGCAGTGTAGTGATTGGTTACATGGTGGCGTTAAGTCAAAGGTCATATGGAGTATCCTAAAGTAGGTCAGTACCTCTTTCTACTGTCCATGTGTTCACAGTAAAACAAGCATCAACAAAACATGGTATAAACTAGAAAATGTCTCCATCAAATACATAAAAAAAAAAGATAATATTTTTTATTTTATTTTTTTTTTGTGCTAGCAAGATGTTTAATAAAACTGTTAAATAATGTTTATAGTAAGTCTTCCCAGTTTGGCCAACATTAATATTAATTTTTTGGCTACCACACATTCTTGTTTCTAATAAAATAATAATTCTAATAAAATTTGACCTACATTTATAAAATATTCAAACCCCATAATTCCAACTATATTTTTCTCAATGTCTGTTTATATAGTCTTTACTTGTATTGAATATTTTATTTTCTGGATTATTAGGTGTCTTGACAACTTGATTTGACCTCCCTCCCAGGCCCTCACAAACAAAATCATGCAATGTTTGTCAATCCCTCTCCCACTTCTTCTCGTTATTCTTCTGTTCCATTTTATGATAGAAAAGTACAAAAGCTGTTAGTATTCCCAGGGCTCTTGGGTTGTTCTTTATGAGTAAAGAAATCCATCAAGTCTTAAACTTCATCAGTTGCTGTGATGTAAAAACTAGCTGGTCAAAACAATCCCCTGAAAAAAAAACAGCTAGGGGTTGACTTTTTAGTAGTGAAAAACAAAACCAATATATGCATACAAACAGATAGTGGCTTTTCAAGTTTTTAGGGACCACCTACATTTCTGTTTTTTTGACTCCCGTGTGCGAAGCACAAAAGGGAGTCTTTGCAGTTACCCTGTCTGTATGTCTGTATGTATGTATGTATGTATGTATGTCACTTTTTTTGTTCCACTGTTATCTCAAGAACCACTAATCAAATTTTGGTGAAACTTGGTACATAGATGCTCTGGGATAATGCGCAGAGTTGATTAGGTTTTGGTAAAAATCTATGAATATTAATTACCTTATTTGCATGATAATTAGCTGATTTTTAGCTGTTCCAAGACTGTTTCACTGATATCTGAAGAACCACTCATTGGATTTTGATGAAATTTGGCACATGAATGCTCTGAACTAGTGCGCAGATTTGATTAGTTTTGGGTAAAAATCTGTTAATATTATTAATTACCTAATTTACATAATGATTAATCAATTTTCGGCTTTTCCACTGATATCTCAAGTACTAATCATAACATTTCAATAAAACTTGGTACATAGGTGTCATATGACACTGCACATACCTGATAGTTTTTAGGGTAATATCAGTACATAT